CTCTCCAAGCTTGGCGCTTGGTGGCGGCGTGCTTCGTTGTCGGCTGCGGAGTTGCAAAGTTGCTGCTTCCGCTGACGAGCTGGCCGCGTGGTTAGCTGGTTGTGTCCCTTCGGCGATGTGCCTGACCACGCTTGTGTTAGTAGAGCATGTGTACTTCCCACGTACTTTTCCGACTGTCGAATGGGATCTCCGCTGGCGTTCGTTCGTCGTTTACTTCCGTCCGGATGCCCAAGTTCGAGGGAGGTAAGGTCTCGTGGCAATGGTGGAGGAGGATTGCCCCTCAGCTTGATAGATGAACTGGCGGTTGCTGCCGCTGCGACTCGGAACTCGGCTATGATTCCGTTCGTGATTGTTGAGGCGCGTTTCCTGCGCGCGGGCTGTCTCGGATGGTTCGCTTCCAGGCCGGCAGAGAACAGCTGTTACTTCTTTGTCGGTCGTCTCGCCTCTGTGGCAAGTGGAGGTGACAAGTGGAGCTGGCTTCAAGCTTGCTTGCTCCTCGCTGCTCTGATCTCCCTTCCTTCGTTCGTGAGGAGCGGGAGGTGCGGTACTCGGTGGCTGACGGTGACTTCGGGGTCGGGCTCCGGCGATGGCCGCTCACGCTGGGCGATGGCGGCTCGCGCCGGGCGATGGCCGCTCGCGCTGGGCGATGGCCGCTCGTGCTGGGCGATGGCGGCGAGGTGGGGTGAGTTTTCGTTGTCGATGGGCGGGAGTCGGGGTGTGCTCGGGTGCTGGTGCGGGGCGGGTTCCCGCGGGCGAGAGCCCGGCGGGGTCGGTCCGGTAGCTAGCGCAAATTAGCGCTGCTCTTCCGGTAGCGCTAACCGTCGGCGCTAGCGCTCTAGAGCTAATTAGTTCTACTATTTGTTACATCTTATTTTGTTAATCTCTGAAAATCAGGTTTATGAAATGATCCGTTGGGTCTCTGATCAGATTCTGCCTCGATAGTTTGGCAACTCTCCAGGAAACAAGTCTGCTCGCTGGCTTGCGTGCGCCTTGAACATCGGACTGGTTGACTGGTCCATTGGCCACCAAAAGATTAGACTTGACTTGATAATAAGTTTGAAAGTTCTCTGCATGACACCGAGCTTGCGCTCTGGCATACGAATCACTCTCGAGTAATTATTGGAAAGAAGCCTTTCGCTTGGCTCGCTGGTCCGAATCAGCGGTCAGGCTCATCAATTATTCTCGAGGACCTGTTTCGGAAAGACCCTTTTGATTGGCTTGCTGCTTACTAGTGATCGACTGCTTGGCACCGAACCTGTCGTCTGGCTCATAATCTCTTCTCTTATCCATTTATTCTTTTCCCTTTCTTTTATTTGTGGGAAACTGTTCTGAAGCGAAACAGCAAAATACACTTGATCAGACTAAAACTGAATTTTGAACACCCCCCGAGAGAAGGGAATATTCGAATTGAACACAATAATTTGTCGTTTCGCCATGCACAAAATTCCCCCACGCGTGTGGGCATGCAACAGGCGAATTCAAAAAGACACCCTGCTGGTCGCTGAGGACCTCGGGAGAGGGCGTAGTGAGTGACAGGTGCTGATGCCTTTGGCTTCAGCAAACAGCAGGCGACCCCTCCCCGGGTTTCCTCAAAACGTGGCGGCAACAACTCGCACAAGGACAGCAAGGGTGAAAGTCAGCCGGTGACGACATGATATACAAACAATATACAATCAATCGAACCAGTGTGAGCTACTCAGTCTAATGGGGGGTTTATGCTAGACCGTTACATCACAGACAACACACAAAACTCAAACACTACGCACATAAGGGGAAGATAATGTGTACACTACTGAATACACCTTCAATCACAAAAGTGTAGGGCAGAGTGGGTTCCAATAACGACTTAGCACCTATGAGGATATGTGATAAGATGTGCCATAAAAGAGGGGTGGGAAGGTCAAATTACTGGGACGGTGGGGTCTTAGGGTTTAAGGGTTTAAGTAATTTGGCACAAAAGGGTACAAAATGGCATCGAAACTGACTATCACAAACAAGCAATGCTTCAAAGACAAAGGCGAGATAGATGTGGCACAGGGGGTAGGAAGGTGGGACTGTGAAGGCTCAACCAAGCTACTAAAGGGCAAGGCAGATAAGAGTCGCAAAAAGGGTTTAAGCAAATGAAGCATTAGGACAATAGGGATAATAAGGTAATGGGATGGGAAGGTAGGGTAGGACGGTTGTAGGTCGGAACAGATCGGTGACAGGATGCGTCCAACAACGGTCACAGAGCAGAGGACCAACAAAAAGATTGACAAGCTTGATGCTGCCAGGGTAGGGGGCACGAGTCAAGACACATAATGGTGTGGACACAGATGACTACACTCAAAGGACTGAATGATGCGAGTGCGAGGGAGAAGTATGAAATTGGAGAGGTAGGTTTAAAAGTAATTACACAAATGTTATAAACACAGACCGTCGCAGTTGAAGGATGGACGGGGGGGGGGGGGGTAATCTGCACCGGTTGATAGATACAAACAAGTTCCATGACAAAGCGGATACAATGTAATATTGGGACGCAGTGCCCGGTTCTCAGCAGGTGCAGCTCCCCACCAATAGATGGAGCCCCACCCCAAAAGAAAATCCGACTAAAAAAAAATCAGAAAAAATATATGCTAAGATTTTTTTTTTTTCGCGCTAGCGCCGCTCGGTCAGCGTTACGCTGCGCTCGCGCCGTGCCGGCCCTGTATGGGCGTCGACTCGAACCATAGCTGAACATCGCGCACTCACCATAGCCGGACCTGCGCCGAACATCACGTGTGCGCGCCCTGGGCGCGCGCGTATTTCTATGAACACCGAGTAAGATGAGCGCGTAAGCTGCGAAGAGGGCATATGTGCCCGGTTTGGAGGAGGCGCACACGCGCCCATGACACTGCGAAGGATGACCTTGACACCCTTGAAGATTGAGAGAGAGACCAGGCGACGAAAAGACTCCAGGAGCCCCATGAAGACGAAGACCAGCCCTTTCGAGTGAGAACTTACTAACTCCCGCATTCCGGCCCCTTCTCTCACCTCCATCCCACCTCATTCTCACCCATTTCTAGGCTCTGACCTGACCTTCACATATCACGTTCTTCTCTCACCTCCATCCCACCTCGTTCTCACCCATTTCTCGCCTCTGACCTGACCTTCACATATCACATTCCCTTGCCAAGGACAACATCTCAAATCGACTCCATCTCCACCCCCCCCTGACCGATTTCGGTCCAAGCACTCTCCGACTATATCTCCGTCCCAACCCCCTTCCAGCTTCAATCCGATCCCCATCACTTTGTAGAACCCTGATAGACACTGTTTCTTCCCCCAACCAATTCTAACTCATTCCCCCATCCTCCTCCAACTTCACCTCAACCTCTCCAACTCCGCCACCTTGCCCGACTCATTTCGAATTGCGCCCAACTTTCGTTTAACCTCCATCCCAAGCCCAACACCTGCCTACCTCTACCCCAATCCAATCCTACCCCGATATTCATACAACAGATAGACATCCCATTCGCCAGTGTCGTCACGCACCCCCATTATCCTCCCATAGATCGCAAGAATCATCTTCTGCTTTTTGGCCACCCACCACTCCCTTCCTCTCTCGCCTGATCCAATAGAAACCCGATCCCCAAGAGGGGCAAGTGCTGCCCAATTAGCGACTCCCCACCGACGAGGCTATATTCCAAATGAAATTTCGCACTGTCCACGACTGACGGCTGTTCCTCCTTTTAAGCCGCAGTACGGGGCCTTTCCCGCGGAATAGACAGCCCAAGTCGCGACTTTGACACACACTCCATCTCTAACTTTTTGCCCTCAATTTAGTACTCGCCTCAATTGGAAGCCCGATCCTCTTCGATCCCACCACGCATTCCATCTCCAATTTTCGCCCTCATCCTACCACTCGCCTTAATTGGAAATCCGATCCCCTGTTGATCCCACCCCGGATTTTAATACCGATCCCAATCTGGTTCCCTTCCTCAACCCCGCGTTCTCCTGATCTCGACCCTTACCCAACCTCGATCCCAACTTCGATCCAATCCCGACCCGGCCCAACGCGATCCAATCTAGACTCAACTTGGTCCCAACCCGTTCCCAACCACGACCACATATCGTTCCCGACTACTCCTGGTCCCGGTCATGATCCACTTCCAACCCCCTCCCCAACTTTGATCTCTCAACCCCGATCTGTTTTCCAACCTCCTCGCCTCCCGTTCCCAGTCCCGATCCCAACCGCGATCTCAACTTCGATACTTATCTCTTCCCCTCCCGTCCCCAACCTCGACCCTATCCTATCCCAACCTCTATCCCAACAGCGGTCCGCGGTCCTACCCCACAGCCCTCTTAACCCGACTTTAACCCCAATCCCATCCCATCTCCGAAGCGCATCCACCTCACCCCCACTTCTCTCTCTCCTCGACCTCACCCTGAACGCAAGCCGACCTTACCCCATCTTATCTCTACCCCATCCCGATCCCAACTTGATCTTATCTCGAATATATCCCAATCCCACTCCGACCTCAACCCGATCCAATCCCGATCCCACCCTGATTCCAACCCGTGCCCATCCCGATCCCATCCAGGTCTCAACATCTGAATCAAATCACTTCCCACATTTCATACTCCCGCATTCCTCCTAACCCGACCTCAATCCCAGTCCTACCCCACCCCCGACGTGCATCCACCTCGCCACCTCGTCACACCGTTCTCTCCTAGACCCCACTCCGAACGCAACCCGATCATATCCACTCCTCCCCCCACTCCACCTCATTTCTCACGGTCTTGATCTCACGCTATCCCAATCCAGATCTTCAATTAATTTCGGTCTCATTTTCGCGCTGTTCACGGACAGAATCTCAACTTCTCTCCCCTGGTTCAGGGGGACTGTCCCCCCCAACCCATAATAGAGGCTCTCACCATAATCCAAGGGAACGGGAAAGATAGGGGATAGAATACTGACCAGATTTGCCGTCTACCTGAATGGCATCTCCGCTCCCCAACTCGGTCACAGCTAGTTAAGGAACGGGAGAAAACAACAACAACGTTATCGATAATGAAGCACTCAAGTTCCTGATAGAGAAAACCAAAGTCCAAGGAGAGCAAATCACAGAAATTCAAAAGGTTGAAGGCAAAGAAGAAGAGATCATCATTTGGAAGTACCCGGAAGAAAAGGTGGCAGAATTGGATGATTTACACGAGAGGCACGGCGTGGTATTCAACTTTGCACGGAATGGAGCAAACCTCCAACCACCCGAGAAAAGGAAATGGATCATAGAGGTAATCAAGAAAGAATTGAAATTCAAACAATCGGGTGAGACTTTTACATTGCAGATTTTGGGTCGGAACAACATCATGGCACTCTTCATACGAGAGGAACATGCGAAAGCGGCAGCGGAATTACAGTCTAGGAACTGTCATGGGTCGGTGTGCACAATCAACAAATGGAAAAAACTGTCTTCCCAGAAACAGAACCAGACATTCGCGGTCTCATACAAACAGACACTGTTAAAAGAAAAATTCTGGGTGCAATTTGACAATGTGCAACCGGGTCTGCATGGGCTGCTAGTGGACAGACTAGAAAGGCAATATCCGGCAAACAGAATCCTGAAATGGGTGCTCCCTAAACCAGATTTTCTGGCCCCGCACTGTGGATCCATGGCGACAGTGATTGAGGTGAAGACAGACAATCCCCCGGTCTTCCCACAGACCTGGAAATTTCAGATTGAAAGCAGATCAGTCGAAGTCAAAGTGTCAACCAAGTCCTCCCCGATCTGCTTTCGGTGCAGAGAAAGAGGCCACATGGGAACAAACCCAAACTGCCCCAAGTATCCGAATCAACCGAAGGAACGAAAACTCCTCCCCAACATGTTAGTGGAGGTGGAGGACGCCCCGGGCATTTGGTTCATTCCGGACAGTAACTACAATGGGTGGGTGTTCGACGACAATCTGGAGGTTCTGGACTGGGCATGGCATTACGCCGACCAGGAACCAGAAGTTAAAAAACCCAATGTCTTCCCCCCGGCTGACAACAGATGGCAGAAAAGAGCCACAGGGAAGGTAGCGGGCAACCCGTCGAAAATCACCACTGACCCACTGATCGATTCACGGGTTATCAAGGAAGAAAAGGATAGAGAAGACTTGTTATGGGATTTGGAAGCAGTGAAAGAACAAGCAATACTACACTTCAACAAGGACTCGACGGACTTCAGAAGCATGTTGTTAAAGATGGAGCAAACATCAACTCAAAACAGAATAGGGGCTCAAACAGACAACAAAAGGACCATGGAAAACGGAAAGACACAAGGGATTCAGGAAGGGGGCCTAAAGAGGAGGAAGGCAGTGGATGCGCAAGAGGAGGTGGTAAGCCTTCCAGCAGACAAAGAAGGAGAGGATGGGAGAACAGATTCGGGAGGAACTGGGTCTGAGAAAACAAGTGAGAGTGGCAAAGGGGAAGGGGACAACAAAGTATCGGATAGTGAGGGGGATTCTCACAGATCTCTGCAGTGGCTCAGGGACTATGTAGAGAAGGTGAAGAGGGAGAGGGAACAGGCCTTTGACATTCGGGCAGCCTGTCACAAGTATGCAGAAAGATCTCAGAGAAATGGTAAGAAGGGGATGGGCGAAGTTGGGAAATTAAGCAACCAATTTGACGTTCTCAGGACAGTGAAAGCGGAAGAGTTATCAGAATACACAGCATTCAGGTATGCAGAAAAGAAGAGAGCAAGGGAACAGGGAGTGAAAGACAGAGATAGAACAGCTCCAAAGTCGAAGGACGACTTCCAAGATCTGCGCCCAAAGAAGTGGAAATCCGGGCAAAATCAGAAGAAGAAGAACCCGAACATGACTCAGTCCGACTTTGAGGAAGAATCAGCGCGCACACGGCTGGAAAAGGAAGCGGCAGTGGTAATTGCACAAACGGAGGAGGTGAACAAACTGAATGACGAATACTCAGCAGAATTTACAACGATCACACACATTGTGGGATCAGGCTCCTCTGGTGGTAGAGACAGCCAAGTCGTCAAGACTGGCACTGATGAACATCCGCCCCTTGATTGCTGCAAGGTATATAGAAAAACTTGAGGAGTGGCAAATTGCAACAGATGTGTCCTTTCAGATCCCATGCTTTGAGGAAGGGCAAAATGTGGCTACCGTACTCCACGAGAAGATATCCACGGAGTACCCATTGGGGGTTTATGATACCATGCCAAGCAACCCAGATCAGGAGGATGCACTTCCTCAACCATAACACGAGGGATCAACTTCACAGCACTCAGAGCATGGTAGACACTCACCTCAGGCATTCTCACCATTGATAGTCAAGCTGTCAAACAAAGAAATTCTGAGTTCAGGGATGAGATGGAGGTCGTGGAGAACGATCCAAGTTGTGCCCTATAGTGTCTTGGCCGGTTCGTGCCTACCGGCTGAACTGGCAGCAGTTTCACTGGCTCAATTGGTTACTACAGGAATGTTGGAGGGCAATGGTGACTTGGATGCAAGGGCATACCCGGTGGACTGGGAGAGGTTTTATAGGAGTGACGAATCTGAGGGGGAGGACCAGGCATGGCATTCAGATGACGAGAAGGAAGAAGATGACCAGGAGGATGCGATGGACTCAGACAATGAGGTGAAGAGTTGTTTGTGATCCCCAGAAAGGAGATGGATAAGATGACTAGTGTAGAACAGCCCACGACAGACCCCCAAGGGGGGGAGGGACTGCTGGACATGGACACGGGGGGGGGGGCGCCTTCGTAGATCCTTCAATGAACTGTTGTTAACTCGTTTTAACCCGACAGAACCCAGAGGATGGAGGGGTTCAGGAAGAGGGCCAATGAGAGGAAAGGTCAGAGGGACTGGAAAGACCAAGGAATCGTCATCCGGTCATGGAATGTGAATGGCTTGGGAAATGTCATAGACAAAGAAGAAAAATGGAATGACATAGTCCAAGGTTTAACAGTCAAAAACAAAACGCCTGCAGATATAATAATGCTACAGGAAACTCATCTCTCATTTTCAACAGAACACAACAAAATCAGAAAATTTGTGTCAAGGAAACTGGGAGGGGTCAAAGATGAAATATGGGCGGCAGACAATATATCAAGTACCAAGGGCACAACTATCTTAATCCCCAACTCCTCACGCATACACAAGGCAGGAAGTGTTATGAACAAGGAAGCAGACCCCCAGGAGGGCAGATGGTGTTCTATGCATTTTAAGTGGAAAGATGAAGAATTTCTCCTCCTCAATATCTATGCCCCAAACAACGCAACCGAAAGAACGTCCTTCCTGGTAGAGCTGGGGACAAAGATTCCACCGCTGACGTCGTGTATAGTGGCAGACGACTCGAATGCAACCTTAGATCCAGCAACAGACCGCATATCCAGATCCTCCAACACTTACAACTCTCAAGAGGCAGTACCGGTCCAGAGACTGATGGTAGATCACGACCTAATAGACCCCTTTAGAATCTTCCACCCGACGTCGAGAGCATTCTCACTGATCAAGAAAAGCCATGCGCAACACACAACCTTCTCACGAATAGACTATTTCCTGATTTCAGGCACAATGATGGGAGCGGTGAAAGAGGCGGAGATCCTGCCTTTAGCACCTTACCCAGGACTGGATCACAAACCCATTGAGCTCACGGTATGCTTTGAGCAACAAGTGAGGAAAGGGGCCAGCTTTCACAAACTGAACAACTCACTCCTGCTGAGTCAAACCTTTCAAGAAGGGATACAAGAATATTGGAAAGAGAGGGGTATGAGCCGCCTTCCCACTCATGATCGGTGGGAATGGTTCGTAGAGAGTTACTCGCTACTAGCGGAGACAGCAGCCGGCATGTCAAGAAAAATGGCCTCTATAAGGAAGCAGAGAAAACAAAGCCTGGAAAAGGCCCTAAAGATAGCAGAATACAACCTGAGGGGTAACCCGTCCTCAGCGCTATATGCGGGTATATTTGAGAAAGCACGGGAAGAGCTAGCGATGTGGAGGTGGTGGGAGTTAAAAGGCATGCAGATAAGAGCCAGGATGTGCGAATATGATCTCAGCGAATCAATGTCGAAACACTTCTTTGCCCGAATTAAAGCAAATACAAGAGCGGCCACAACAGAAAAATTGAAAAGCCTTAGCAACCCGAAGGTGTCAGAGGAAACCAGCGAAGGGATTTTGGGAATAGCCAAAGAATTTTACCAAGACCTATATCAGACTAAAACCCAAACACCCACGCCAAGCAACACGTTGGAAGCGAGACAGAGAATGTTACAATATTTGGAACAAACGATATCGCCAGAACAATCTGAAGAGTTGGACAAACCCTTATCATTGGAGGAGCTAAACCAAGCTCTCAAGAGCATAAACAATGACAAAGCACCAGGTATTGATGGGCTGACAAGAGAATTCTGGGAAAAATTCTGGCCAAACCTCGGGGGGGACCTGTTGAACTTCTACAGAGATAGCTATGAGAAAGGGGGTTTAGGCAGTTTGATGAGTAGCAGCGTTGTAACGCTACTGTACAAGAAGGGGGACAAGGAAGACATCAGGAACTATAGACCTATCTCCTTACTAACTCTCCCGTACAAAATCCTGGCTAAGACCCTGGCTGCCAGAATCACGAAAATAACTGATAAATGCTTTCACATTGATCAGACGGGCTTCATCCCTGGACGTTACATTCTGGATAATGTGCTAACTCTAAACGAAGCTGCAAACAAAGTCAGAGAAAGGAGGATAAACACAGCCATACTCTTCTTCGACTTTGAAAAAACCTATGATCAATTCAACTGGTCTTTTATGGATGCAAGTATGGAACGTATGGGGGTGGGACCAATTTTTAGGAAATGGATCCAGGTATTGTATAATAATGCCTCAGGCTGCGTGCAGATTAATGGGTTTCTGTCTGACAGTTACCCAATATCTCGATCAGTCAGGCAAGGGGACCCGTTAGCCCCCTCGATCTTCCTATTTGTGATGGAGGCCATTGCTTCTTTCCTAAGGAAAGACCCCTCCATACATAGACTCCCAGAGGTCAATGTAGGGACGTCTCATCATCTCAAGTTCTCGACAGTTATTTTGTTTGCAGATGACATGACAGTACTGATTAGAGCCTCGGATTCGTCTTTTAAAGCACTGTCCAGGGCAATGGAAGCATTCGGTCTGGCATCAGAAATGAAGATCAATTGGAAGAAGACCATAGGCTGGTGGCTATCAGATGAACAAATTCCCAACCTGCAAGGACCGGAGGCTGCCATGTCCTGGGACACGCCAGAAACACCCACCCAATACCTAGGCATCCTCATGTCACGGGAGGGCCTGGTACCTCAGATGGCCCAGAACATGTTAGCTAAACAGTTAAATAAACTGGGAAGATGGGGAAACACATTCACCTCACTGATCGGTCGGGCTTTGGTACTGAACACTTCTATCTTCTCTATGATGTGGTACATTGCGTCGGTCTGGACAATCCCGGATGACTCACTAAAGGAACTTAATCGAGTGGCCAGGACGTATTTATGGACTGGCAACCCCAACAAGGAAGGTTGTATCCCAAAGATAGCATGGCATTATATCACAAGAAAACCGACACAAGGGGGCCTAGGAATCATCGAACCGAGGTGTGAAACGAGAGCTCTTCAAGTTAAATGGATAGTCCGATTGTTGACTAAACCAGAAACGACATGGAATAAACTGGCCTTGGATAGCATAAGGGCCTTAGCTCCGGTGGCATCGCCAAATAACATGACAGGGCTATTCTGGGTAATGAATAAGGAATGGTCCTTGAAAAGGGCGAGGCGAAGACCCAGGAGGGAGGCAAAAAGGAATATAGACAACCGCCAAACACCGTAGTGGGCATCTCTAATCCGGATTTGGAGGGAAATAATGCCAAAAAAGACCAACAGACCAAAATCTAAGGATGAGGTGCTAAGACAGCCTCTCTTTGGCAATGAATGGATGAAGGGCGAAAGTGATGAACCCCTGTTCTTGGACCACAAATGGCAATCATGGGTAAAGAATGGAGTCTGGACAATCAGTCACTTGTGGAACGAAGAAAAGAAAGAATGGGTCTCTGAACAAGAGCTAAGTGAACGTTTGAGGGGATGCCATAGAAGAGGACCCAACCTGCAATATATTATTAATCTCGTTCCTCAGGATTGGAAAGATATGCTAAAACAAGGGGAGCCATGGAAAAGTGGTGAATGGGGGATCAAAGTGCAGGAAACTTCCCACTCTAGGGCCTTCCAATTCTCTCACCTACACTCCGGATCAGTCACTCAAGCGGTTTTCACTTCCTTCCCAATTGACCAATCCACGAAGGGGATGACAACGATCAAGAACATCGACGTGGAAACGACAGTCATGGATTACTTCCTGCTCAGAAAAGTACGGGTCTTAGGCACATGGCCGAAGTTCATCTTCAGAACCGACACGGCTTTACACAACCTGGAGTTCGACCCGATGGAGTGGGCATGGAAACCAGAAAGGAGGGCAAACATAAAGAGACTCATCCCCATYCASGATTACACGGTCAAATTTGGGTATGAACTACTGCTAWAAACAAAAGACCCAGAACCGGTGATTAAGRCCAGRTGGCAGAAGCTAATAGGACAGGAAGCAGACAAGATCACACAGATTCCGTGGAAGATTTATAAAACAATCAGACCAATCAAAATCAAAAGCCTCCAATGGCTGATTATATATGCGGCATTASMAGTTAATCAGTGGTTACACGTGAGGCGCAAGGGTTCAGACCCAGACAGTTCCGATCAATGCAAAGTATGTACGGAAGGGGCGGTAGAGGATATAGTACATTGCTTAATACACTGTAGGGAAGCRACARAATTCTGGGCAAGAGCYTCGACCCTATGGGACTCYCTTTTCCMGACTCCTTTCCCTGAACAACCCATCCAACTTCTCCTTTTGACTARCATCCCYGAACAACTCCGGAAAGYGGAAAAGAACTGGTATGGACTCATCAGGAAGGTGACACTATGGATCATAYGGAAGGAAAGATGCAGCARRACAATCGAAGGAGTGTCCAACTCASGAGAGATGRTTTGGCTGGAGACGAAAGCAATGATACAGGCGGAAATCCTATGCCGTTGGCGGAAAATTAAATTATCATGGTCAGAGGATGAGGAACAGCGAAAGAAGGMGAGACGRAAGTTCAGCAGGATATGGTTGATAGRRGGGAAAGTTGCTGATCTACGAGACGACCACATCTACTGGAAGAACTGGCACAACTCCAACTCGGGAAGAAGTATTGGGCAGGGACTAACTGCGCAAGGGCAAGGCACCTCCGGACCAGAATCTTGAAGAGGAAATGGTGTCAAGCAAGCCTCGGCAGAAGACAAGGATCAGCGAAAGAATGGGAGACTGAGGCTGTACAAGACTTGGTTGTGTATACGGCAAGTCTGCTAAGAGATAAATGGACTGTATCTACTGGAAAGGGAGCCATAACTCAGTGCTAGAAAGGAGCTCCCAACACAGGTTAAAGGCGGGTGCATCAATCACTTTTCACAGACAGATCAGACTTCCACGGGAACTCAAGCCAAAACTGCTACAGCTATGGATTGACAGCACAAAGTTGGACAGACGGTACCATAAGACCAAAACAAGGGGAAAGGGCAGTTCCAAAGGGCTGCTGTAATATGGGTTCACAGGTTGAGGGCTTAGGGTTAAGGGTTTTAGGGATGTCTTAAAAAAGAAAGGACATATAAAATGGGAAAGGGCTTGACTATTAGAGGTCAGAAACAGGCGAAGGGTTTAGGGGGTAGGGTTTATCACAG